ATTATTAGTATGACTTGTAGGCTCAAGAATGTATGGTTCCTGCTAACAGCAGAAAGATTAGGACTAGATGCTGATGACACAAATTGAAAATATAAAGTTAAAACTTGATTTCAATTAAAATATTGATTCAAATTTTTAAAAACTAATTTAAATATATTTTAAAATCATGATTTACACTGATCACATTACATTTTAATGATTTTTGCAATGTTATTGGTACATATTGTTATTTTTAGTCTTTTGTGTTTTTTTTAAAACATGTACATGAACCTTCCTTATTTACAGAGCAGAATTTTATCCCCTGTGAAGACTTACAGGAATATAACAGTACCCTTCATACACAAAGTTCCTAAAGAAATTTATAAATCTCATTTTCAAACTACATACAATTTCATCCACCTATGAAATACAGCTCTTTCTGGGATGGAAGCCAGTAGCTATTAAACAGTACATGGAGACACTACACAGCAGCTTAAGACACAAAGTGAAGAACAATACCCTATCCAACTGTAATTTAGGAAAGAAACATTTATTCTCTTAAATTTTTGTTTATTGGTATATAATTTCAATTACAGAATAAAAGCATTACAAAACATAAAACTCCAGTATACTTTCTATTCCTGATCATTGCACGGGCACCTATCATCACGTAACGTAAAAGCACACTAAAGAATTTTTAGTGCACTGTAGTATTGTAATGTCTATATGTGGGTCATGGCTGTGCAACAAGCTACTGTGTTGTAGTCAGACCCTGTCTTGCCCTGCAGTAGTGTCCTGTGTAGTCAAATCCTTACAGCTGTATGCTTGGTTATTTTTAAATTCTACAATTAAAAAAATTAGAATGTATGTCCTGACCATCACCCATATAAGTTAATATTTCTAAAAAACTACCATGTGATTTTTGAAGAACCCAAATGATCAGCTGTAAGCCTCATTAGAAATACAGCCCCCTTCCAACAAAGAACTGTGCTCCCTAATGCCATAGGGGAGGAGTTCAGCATTGACTGAGAGTTACTCCTGGAGGAATTCTGCAGGACTGCATGCCTGCAGAAAACACTCCCTCCCTCCCCCCAGATAGATTTCCTGTTTCTCTATGGAAAACGGCAGGGAAGCAAAGGGAAGCTGTGCTGGGGGGAGGGAGGGACCATGGGTGCAGTTTTTTTGGGGGGGGGCTTCCCCCCTCCAGAGGCGGGACATGGGGGTGCACATGGGGTTACATGCCTCGCCTCCCCACCCCCCATTCTGCAAGCACAGAGCTGCCCAACAGAAGGAGGCTGTCTGTGTCTCTGCTCTACTGACTCTGCAGCTCAACGTTGCCTCCTGGGTCCTAGTGTTAGTCATGCTCCCCTTCTGTGTGCTGGGAGCCTTCCTGTTTTCTATTCTATGCAACAGTGAGTGGGGCTGGGTAAGGGGGGTGGGGTGGGAAAAATGAGGAGGGGGGAGAAGAGGCAGTGAGGCAGGAAGAGGGGTGGAATAGGGCAGGGGGAGGGGAATGTG